CTGAGAAACATCCATGGCAGGGGAGGTGTGTGACCCTGTCACCTCCAGACATCAGAAGGTGACAGTGGGGTGTCCACGGAAGCTCTGCTCCAGGCTGGGCCACGCAGCTGCTGCCAGCTGGGCAGAATGGTGCTGTGCCCAGCAGGATGGTGCTGTGCCAGCAGGATGATGCTGTGCCAGCAGAATGATGCTGTGCCCAGCAGGATGGTACTGTGCCAGCAGGATGATGCTGTGCTGGGCAGGATGATGCTGTGCCCAGTGGGATGATGCTGTGCCCAGCAGGATTATGCCACCTCAGCAGGTGGACAGGCATTTTCACCCGGATTTTGGCAGCAGGAGCGGCTGCCGGGTGCTCACGTCGAGGACCAGCAGAGAGCATTCACTTTGTTTTGTATCTCCTTAGGTTCCTCCAGCAATTTGCATTTCAAAGCCTCTCCTGTCCTGCCTGTGTCCCCAGAAAGGCCTTGTGCAGCCGCAGGAGCTGAGGCCAAGGTGAGGGGCACTCACAGCCTTCACAGGCACAAATGTCTGCCAGAGGCAGCTGGATCCCCCAAGCCAGATCCCAGAGCCAGGCATGATGGGGGCTCCAGCTGTAGCAGGAGAGTGCTGGGGGAAGGAGAGGGAGAAATTGGATTCAGAGGCAGCAAATGCAGCTCCCCAGAATGGATGTACATTTTCATTATACACTGAGTAATTGGTGGTAATACAAGAGATATGGGCAGTATCATTATAGACCAGGCTGTGCTGGAGATGGATTATCATCATCTGTCATTATCTGGGCTTCCTTGTGGCTGCTAAAATTGTAGAACATGATTTTAATAACCCTGGAAGGCAAGAATCATTTTTCTTTTGTCACTTAACAACTTGGCCTCATTCACTGATACCTTTAAATAAGAAGGGGGGATTAATTTCTAGTGGGATAAATGCAGACCTGGTTGTTTCCTCCTCTCTTCATTTGCAAAGGGGCCCTCTTTGATGCCTGACAGCTTCCAAGGAAATTGCAGATAATGGGGACAGGATGTCAGTGTGGAGCAGGGGGCACAGGATCAGCAGGAGGGGGTGCTGACACAGTGCCAGCCCTGGGGACCTCACCCTGTGCCCCCCAGGAAGGGCACTGATGGCACTGGGAACCACAGCCTGAGCCTCAGGGAGTCTCGGCCAGGAGATTTGGGCAGTATCAGAGCCATCAGGGTGCTGCAGGCACCCCAGCCTTCAGTCCCATCTTACAGGGCACAGACACGGCCACTTCCCAGGAGCCAGGGGAGCTGCGTCACTCCTGACACCCCTGGACACTGTCAGGCTCATTTGTGGGTGTTTCATTTGTCACTCCTCTTGGCCATGGAAAAAGCCAGCAGCAGGAGAGGGACAAATCAAATTACAAGGCAGCTAATGAAAATAATGGGGAATAAAGCACTTTTGGAGGCTGCTTGGTTGGATTCCTATTTTCCTGTGTCACTGGGTTCAAGCGGGGATGTTTTTAACCTCACGAAGACATTTCATTACCTTTGTGATTAGCTCAATTGACCATGGATTTTTTGCTCTCACAGATTTGAGCCCTTGGAAGAGAAGTGCCAACTCCAAGTCACATTCCTGCCCCACAGCTCGAGCACCTGGAGACCCCTGTGCCTTCCAGGAGCCTGGCACTGGCAGCGTGTTCCAGAGGAATATGGATGGGAATGAGGGGGGTCTCCCTGGGCAGTACAGATGGGGGGGGTTCATACAGCAGGAGCAAGGGGGGAGCAGCTGGGAGAGCTTTTCCCCTTTTCCATGCAATGCTCTGGCCACTTCAGCCACGAGCAGCTGTCAGTGCCTGCCTGGGCTGGCAGCCCCTACCTGCAGCTATTGACTCTGAGTAAATAATCTCCAGGTATCCTTTTCTCCTGATAAAAGCTGCTTTTTTTCTATTATTGTCAGAGGTGTTTATTAGAGCAGAAAAATAATAGTGCTTTGCTTGCAGCCTGATTGCCGGGAAGTGTCGGGAGTGGCCACACAGCCGCGACAGCTGGGATCAGACTCGGATGTGCTGCCTGCCACCACGGGCACAGCGTGCTGAGGGGGTGTGGTGGGTGGGTGAAAAGCCCCTACCCAGGTGGTTTGATGGGAAGCAGCATCAAAGGGAAATTTCTTTTCAGCAGTGGCAGGAGAAGATGCTTCACAAGTCTGAGCTCTGGAGTGAATCAGCAGAAAAGAGCAGGAGTTTCCAGGAATATGAGGGGTGAGAGGCTGGGCCAAAGGACATGGGGAGGTTCCTCTGCCACAAACCTGTGCAACAGAGGCAGGAATTTAGGGACAGGCGAGTTCTAGGTGGTCCCATGGAGGATCTCTCCCTCTTGCCCATCCACCCTGTCAAACCCTCTGCCGAGCTGGAGCTGCGGTCCCTTGGCACCACTTTGGCATCTCAAAGAGTAGAGATGAATAATGGCAGCACATCCCGCCCCTCCTCCCCCTCCCCATGCCCATCAGGGCCTCCCCGGATCTGCCACACAGAAATTAATCCTCCTGCCTCATTAATTGCAGGAATGTGTCGGGAGCTGTTCAAGGTCAGCCTCTAGGACCCCTGCCATCAATCCTCTCCAATTTGCAGCTGCCTCGTTGGGGAGGAGCTGGCAGTGGCACAGCAGGGACAAGCACCGGGGACATCTCTGGTGTTTGGGTGACCAGAGCCTGCAGACACAGGAGGGTCCTGGATGGGCTTCTGTCCCAGGACTGGCTCCATGCTGGCACGCCGCCCATGTCCCCCTGTCCCCTGGTGATGCCATCAGGAGCCAAGGGTCCTCTCCTGACCACCTCTGCCCATCCAGAGTGACTTGATGGGGAGCCCTCTGCTCCCTCCTCATTGCTGATGGCTGAGCAAGGGGTAGTCTAAATTAATTACATTGGGTACCAATTAACCAGCTCTCCTCACCCATTAGAGACTGCAGAAGCTTTTGCACTTACATCTTGCATCTTATGTGACTGGCACTCTTCTATTTTTTTAGGGAATGAAAAGAAGAAAGGGAAAATCCCTTTAGGGGAGCTGGGGTTTGCTGCCTGCGGAGCTGATACACATCAGGAATGTACTTTATTCTGTTTAAGAGCAATGATCCACCCAGCAGGGATGGAAACAGAGGCGCTGGGAACAGAGATGTAGCTGAGAGCTCCCGGGTACCGAATGTGGGGCTGCTGCCTGTGGACTGCAACCAGGGCTGCCCACAGGGTCTGGCCATGCCCACAGGCTGCTTTCCCAGTGCCACTGGTCCCCATCCTATGCACTGCAACCAGGAAAAACCCTGCAGCTGCTTCCCCTTTCCACGTTCCCCCTTGCTTGATGGCCTTAGGCTTGGGAGGCTCTTATGTCACAAACTGGGAGCCACTGTCCCATCACTCACCCCAAAACCTGCTTCCCTCCGAACTGTGCTCCCCTTGCTGTCCTGTCCCATGGCCTGCGTCGCCACCTGCCTCTGCACCGTGGGACCCATGGCTCAGGATCCCTGCAGGGGTGGCACCCTGCACCCTGCCTCGTATTCCTGTCCCATCCCAGGGGTGGGATCTGTGAGCTTGTGAGGGTGACTCAGAGCCGAAGGGGAACCGAGAGCGCTGTCGGGGAGGCACATCTGCTCCATCCCCACTCGCAGGGGGGATGTCCCAGCGGACTGGCACGCTCAGAGCCTGCTGGGACGAGCCCTTTCCCTGCGGAGCACGGGCGAGATGAGCCCGAGGACAGGATTGTGCTGGTGTGGGATGCAAGGTGCTCTCCCCACCCCGGATCCCAGCCCGTGGCGGGGCCCCACCGGCGCTTGCCGGTGTCCAGCTGGGTGTTCGCAGCGCTACGCCCTCGGTTCCCACGGAGATGCCCACGTCGCCATGGCTACCCACGGATATTCCTGCTGGTAAACAGCCCGCACGGCACCAGCTTCCGTCCCGAAGTACTGCGGGTTGCTACACCCCAGGGAAATGTTGCGAGGGCAGCTCCCCAGGCCCTGGCAGGCAGTGGGCATGCAGTGGGCATCAGCCCGGGGTGCTGAGCCCCCACCCCACCAGCAGCCTGACCCATTACAAGCAGGGCAGACTGGGGGAAAAGTGCCTTTGCTTGGACTGTCGGGCTTGTGAGGTCGGGGGTGAGAGCCCCAAGACATCCCCTCCAGCCAGCGCCCGGCTCTGCAGGAGGCAAAGCCAGATCTCCCCATGCTGATCTCCCACCACATCGAGACGCTCTGCTGCCAGGGGGCTGCTCTGGCCCCCCAGATTTTGGCAGCACGGGCTATGTGAGCACTGTAGCGTGCTGTGGAGATGAAACACCGCCCCGAGAGTAAACAGCTCTTTGCACAACAGCCGCCGTGGTTGCGAAGGCTGTGAGTGTGTGAAGGGTTGAGCAACCCTCTGTTTACCGCCCATGCCAGCCCCATCCCACCAGACATGGGATTCCCTGCCGGGGCTGTGCTCCAGCCTGGCACGGGTGGGCACAGCAGCTCGGCAGGCCCCAGGCAAGGAGCTGTTGAAATAACACGGGTTAATGGTCAGTACTGGGAGATACTGGTGGGAACATCATGTCATGGGCTGCCCTCGGGCATCTTACTGGCCACTCACCCTGGGGCAAGCTGGACTACGTGGACGTGGACACGGACACAGGCATGGGAATGTGAGCTGTTCCCAGGTGGCATCACACTGTGCTGGCAGCCACAGCTGGGCTTGCCTCCTGCCCCTTGAGTTGCTCATTCCCTGGCCCAAGGCCTCCGGCTATATACTTCAGCTCACATTCTTCTGCCGTGTCCCCAGCCCAGCCTGGCGGCCCCAGAGCAGTTGCCGTGAGGAACTGTCTGTGCCACATCCCGGCTGTGCCAAGTCCAGCCCTGGAGAGGGCAGGGTGGAGGCTGGGCGCTGCTCAGGGTGTCCATGTCCCCTGGGCTTTCCTGCCTGCGGCAAGCGAGAGGGTCGCAGACTTCAGGGAAGTGTTTTGCAATCACCTTCTTCAGAGCGTCACAGCAACTAACGGCCCTGGTTTTGAGGAACTAACGGGGAAAGCAGCATGTTAGCAAACAGACTGAGCACGGCCAGCCGCCGGCAGCTGGAGCCCTGCACTTGGAGCGGACGGTGAGCCGGGCACGCCGGACACAGAGGAGAGGCAGGGATGGAGGCGAGGTAGGGATGGAGGTGAGGTAGGGGTGGGTGCGTGGTGCTCAGGTCCCACTGAGCAGCATCTGGTCTGGCTGCTCTGCCCAGTCCCCTGCCTGGGACAGCCCCACGTGCCGAGTGCTCAGGGGTGGCCGCTGTCCCACTTCCCACACTCGAGTTCATTGTCTCCCTCTGGATGTTGGCCTAGGGGGTGAGGAGCTGTGGGCACCCAGAGCTGGGCACACTGTGGCCAGCCCTTCCTGGGCCACTAAAGTGTCTGGGACCCATCAAGGGCAGAGGACCCGGGCACGGGCAGAGGCAGCCCCTGCTCCCAGGGCCATTCTCAGCGTCAGGCAGGGGATGCAGCTGACGGGGGCAGCCGGGAGGGGCGTGGGCAAGACCCCGCAGCTCCGGCCAGTCCTGCTCTGCTGCTGTCGGTCATTCTCTTCCCTTTCGCAGCTTATCGCCGTCCGCCGCCCTCACCCGCCCTCAAACCGCAAATCTCTGCCCGGCAGCAGCTAGAGATAATGGAGATAAAATCAGCCCGTGCCTGCGGCCAGGCGCAGGGAGCTGTGTCCGGGACGGGGCGCGGGGCCGGGATGGTGACAGCGGTGTGGCGGGACCCGCGTTCCGGGGTCTCTCCCCTGCGCTTCCCACGCCGGCGGCTGTGGCGGCGCGGGCGCCGAGCCGGGGGCGGAGGTGTCAGAAGGGCTGCGGGAAGGGCTGACGCTGACAGCGAAAGGACATTCTGCGCCAGGAAGCGCAATGACAATGGATCCCGGCTCCTTCAGCCCACCTCGTCCCCAGCCCTTGCCGACCCCCAGGACAAGCCGCTTTCTCCGTTCCAGGTGATGCCAAAGGCACGGAGGACACAATGGCCAGGCGCGGTGCTGGGACACCCTTCTTGCCGCAGCTCTCCCTGCTCCTGCTCCTGCACTTGGGCGGTGAGTGCGCTCTATCCTGTCCTGTCCCGTCCCACAGACACTCCATCCCCAGCACCCTGCGCCCATCCGGGCTGGCCGGGGCCCGGGGGCTGGCAGGAACGGCGGCAGCGCAGCAGGCACGGGCAGGATGGGGCCTGGCACGTGTCGGTGGCTTGCCCAACGCTCGACTCTTCCTCTGCAGAGACGGGGGGCCCGTCTAAGGGAAGAGGCTCGTCCCTATGTCCTGCACTGAGGAGCAGAGATGGCTTTGTCGCAGCTGTGCCCAGGATGTGACATGCTTTTCCTGCCCGCAGGGACACTGGGCTGCGCCTCGGTGACTGTGGGCTCCCCCACTGTGCCCCTGGGCTCGGCTGTCACGGCGTCCTGCACCATCCAGAGAGAGCTCTGCCGCGGCTTGGAGCACGAGAAGGTCCGGATCAGCTGGATGCTGGACAACAAGCTTGTGGTTGGCAGCCAGCACCAGGGTCCAGGGGGCACGGAGGTGTCCAACCTCACCCTGCCCCGGTTCAACCACACACACGCCAGGCTGTGGTGCTGTGTGGAGTGGAATGGGACCAAGCAGCGCGTTCACATGGCCGAGATCAGGGCGGGCTGTAAGTCTGATACCACTACGGGTCACCCTCCTCCCCAGCAGGGACAGGCTCTTGCTCAGGCTCTTTCCCGGCTGTTCTTCCCCAGACCCTCCTGCGAAGCCCCTCAACCTCAGCTGCGCCCTGAACCTCAGTGACTACGGGCTGACGTGCCGATGGGAGCAGGAAACCGACAGCCACCTCCCCACCAGCGTCGTTCTGAAGTGCACCGGGTAAGTCCCGGGACCACGGCCCTCTGCCAAACCCCACAGCAAGCCTCATCCTCTGCCAGAGGGACCCCGAGCCCACTGCTCTGTCTGCTGTAGGAGCAGAGGGCAGGCAGTGACGGGCTGCATCCCGCGAGGAGGGCACAGGCACTGCACGGTGCCACGCCGGCTGCTCCAGCTGTACCGGCAAATGGAGATCTGGGTGTCTGCCACCAACGCCCTGGGCACAGCCGAGTCAGAGCATCTCCACATCGACCCCATGGACGCGGGTGAGTGACGGCACAGAGGTCAGGGGCCAGGGAAGCTCGTCAGCAGTGACAGAGGTATTAAAGTGACATTAAAGCACGTCGGGCCTTGAGGTCACATTTTACGGGCAGGTCCCATGATGAATGTCCTGCCCGGATGAATCGCTGCCAGCGCTGCATTTCAGAGCGAGCAGCACGTGCCGAGGGTTATGAGCTGCCAGTTGACCTGCTGCACTCCACAGCTCCTGCAGAAATTGATTACCCATTTATTCAGCAGGTCTATTAATAATGGATCCAGTGCCTATAAACTATTTATAAAAGGAGCCTTCTCAGATGGAGAGACTTATTCTCCCTGATCTGGGGTTGGGGAAGGGCTGGCCAGGAACCAGCTGAGCCCTCCCATGGCTGTGCCACACTCTCACCCCTGAGCAGACCCAGATGGGTGGTATTCCAGACACCAGGCTCCATGGAATGTGTTTTCTCTGCATAGGCATTAATGCAGAGCTGTGCCAGTGTTGTGCTCATGAGCATTACTCCATCCCAAGCAGGGACACACACCGGCTCCTGTCCCGTGCCACCAGCCATTCTCCTAAATGTTTTGGGGTGGTTCCCCCCATTTCTTGCTGCAGCACCCTGGCTGCAGCTCCTGGCATTAACAACAGGCATATGTGAGGTCATGGCTCTGAGCACTGCAAGCCACACACCTTTCCTTGCTCTTCCTACAGCCAAGCTGGACCCCCCAACCCTGCAGAGCATCCAGTCCATCCCCTTCCAGACCGACTGCATTGCCCTGGCCTGGGATGCGGCGTGGGGCACAGAGCATATGGACCTGCAGTGTGAGCTGCGCTACCGAGCTCCCGAGGACCCTGCCTGGGCCCTGGTGAGTGCTGCTGGGCAGTGGGGCCGGGCAGGAGCCGGGACCCTCCCTCTACTCCACGCAGTGGGAGAGGAAGGGTCTCCATATGAGTGGGACGGCAAGGTGTCCCCCCGCGCCCACACCAGGGCCAGCCCCTGCCCGAGGCAGGAGCCAGCATTGCCCTCGTTTCGGCTGCCACCAGGTCACCGGTATCATCGGCCGGGCCGGCACCGCGCAGCACTGCGGCTTCCTCTTCGGCACGCAGTACCACTTCCAGATGCGGTGCCGGCGGAACTCAGCATCGGCGTTGGCTTACTGGAGTGAGTGGAGCCCGGGTAGGAACTACACCACACACGAGAAAGGTGAGTGTGAGTCACTCAGGGGGTCCCCTTTGCCTGAGCCTGCGGCACAGCCCTGGGGACACACGGCACAGCGCTGGGGGCACAGCCACACGGGCCCCTCTCAGTTCTCCCATCCCTCTCCCGTTGCAGCCCCCACAGGGAAGCTGGACGCGTGGTGGGAGGCTCAGCTGGCTGGGACAGGGGGGCGGCTGGAGGTGCAGCTGCGCTGGAAGGTGAGCAGGGGCAGGCAAGGGGCGTGGGAAGTGCGGGGGCATTGCCTGAGATCCCCGCAGGGACTGACACCCGCACACCCTGCCCGCACCCAGGCCCCACGGCAGCGGGAGGCCAACGGGCGAGTGCTGGGCTACCGCGTCACCCTGAGCCCCCGGAGGAGGGGCAGGGACCCTTCCACCGTCTGCAACACCACCCACACCCAGTGCAACTTCTCGGTGCCCGCGGGGACCAGAAGGGTTTATCTCTCAGCCTACAACAGCGCCGGCGAGTCGGCACCGACCGAGGTCGCCCTCCTGGAGAGAAAAGGTGAAGGCAGTGCCCGAAACCTCCGCGCGTTCCCGGGGCTCTGCTCCCCCCGAGCAGGCTGCACGGAGTGCACAGCCAGGGCACGGAGAGGGCAGACTCCAAACCCGGGCGCACAGGGGGTGATGTGGGAGAGGTGCTCCCCTCTTCCACCATCCCGGCTGCTTGTTCCGTGCAGGTCAGCCCCTGGCTGGGCTCCGGGCCGTGCCCGGGGGCGAGCGCAGCCTCTGGGTGCACTGGGAGGCACCGCTGGCCCCAGTGATCGCCTACGTCCTGGAGTGGCAGCGGGTGACAGCAGAGCCTGGGCACTGCAGCGCATGCTGGCAGATGGAGCGTGACGGGGCAGCCACCACAGCCCTTATCCAGGGTAAGTGGGGGCTGCCAGGGGGTCCTGACCCCCTGGTCAGCTGTCCCAGGAGGCTGGCACCCATCCTGACCAAACCAGGACTAAGCCCTGGCCCCAGCGCGCTCCCCACCCTCCCTCCTTCCCCCTGGATCCACCCCTAGTGTAGGTGGGCTGGTGCCTTGGGCAGGGGCGGCGCAGCTAGGGGGTCTCAGCAGCCGGTGCTCTGAACTCCCGGCCCCCTCTGCTCTCCATTGCAGATGGCATCGAGCCTTTCCAGCGGTACAACATCTCACTGTACCCCCTCTATGAGGACACTGTTGGGGTGCCGGTCCACACCACAGCCTACTCCCAGCAGAAGGGTACGTGGGAAGGGTGCCCCATCACCAAGAGTTTGCTCTTCCAAAAGGAGGAACGACCCCTCCACCATGTACCCCTAATGCAGGGGCTTTACCAAAGAGCTTGGGAGGCTGGATTTGTCTCATCTCTGAATGTGCTCTCAGCTCCCCTACAGCATGGGCAGGTCCTGACGCCCACACCTTGGGAGTGGGACCTCCCCCCATCAGTTCCCACCCGAGGCAGTGCTCAGCACTTGGTCCCCCCCTTGTCCTGCTCTTTCCAGCACCATCCCACGCCCCAAAGCTTCATCTGAAGAGGATCAGCAAGTCAGAGGCCGAGCTGTGCTGGGAGCCGCTGCCAGTGGAGATGCAGAACGGCTTCATCACCAGCTACACTGTCTTCTGGGCCAACAGCATCACCAACGGGGCCAGTGAGTCCTGCCCGCAGTACCACTGACCTCGCCCTCTGTCCCATGTCAATGTGCTGGGTGGAGATATCAGGAGACCCTGTGACCTTCTCAGAGAGGGTCAGGGAGTTTTACAGGTCCCTCACAGGGCTCCCTGCCAGCAGAGACCTGAGGGGCTGTGCAGGTTGGGGGGATTCTGCCACACCATCAGCCCCATGTATCCCCAGGTGCCACCGTGAATCCTTCCCTCAGCTCCTTTGTCATCCGGGGGCTGAAGCCATCGACCCTGTACAAGGTGCACATCATGGCATCCACGGCCGCCGGCAGCACCAACGGCACCAGCCTGACCCTGGTGACCAGAGTCCTGGGTGAGGGCTGCAGCCACCCGAGGCAGGGGGGGAACTGGGGGGGACCTGCCTTAGCCCCATGGCACAGCACAGCCAGTGGTGCCCACTGCAGTTCCCTGTGACCCTGTCCTGCTTCCCAGATGACACCGAGATCCAGTTCCTCTTCCTGACCCTGGGGCTGGTCTTCGTCGTGCTCATAGTGTTGCTCATCTGCTTCCAGAAGAACGAGCGGTGAGTACCAGAGCCCGGCCCGGGCTGGGCTGCTGGTGGGACAGGGTGGCCTTGCGGGGTGCTGACATCCCGCCGGGAGCTTGGCGGGAGCCAGTCCAGCACTGAGGCCACCCATTCCAGCCCGCCTCGCTGAGTCCCCTCATCCCCGTGGTCCCCAGGATGAAGGAGCAGCTCTGGCCCAGTGTCCCCGACCCCGCCAACAGCAGCCTGGGCAAGTGGGTGCCGGCAGCGGTGCCGCAGGTGAGACCGGGTGGCTGCTGCCCGGCCCCCCAGTCCCCACCCAGCATATGGCCCCTGTGAGGGACAGATGACACCGGCTGTGACCTCCCGCTGGTCCCCAGGAGCCGCTCCAGGTCCTCGCCCCGAGGGAGCCCGGCCCGGCCGCCATCTCCACGGTCATTGTACTGGAAGGGGAACCGGGGAAGCAGCCGGGGAAGGAACACCCCACCCTGCCCGCCGCCCTCCCGGCGCTGCACCGGCCCTACGTGCGGCAGGAGGGTCCCGTGGAGCCCGTGCAGTACGCGCGGGTGGGGGGTGGGGGGTACCGGGGCCAGCGGCTGCTCCCCGAGCCCGGTCCCCGGTTCTACGAGAACCTGCGAGGCGGCGGCGGCGGCAGCGCGGGTGACTGGGGGTTCCTGGAGGAGCCCCCCGCCACCTTCCCGCTGCTGCAGGGGCTCCGCATCGGCGGGGCCGAGGAGCTGCACGAGTGCCGGGCGGACTAGCGCGGGATGGAGCCGGGCAGCCACACCGGGGCCGCCAGAGGAAGCCCCGGGATGCGGGATCCACCCGCGGCGTTCCAGCCGCATCCCGGGGCGCTGCCCGGCTCCACCCCGCTCTGTGTGTGTGTGTGTTCCCTCCCGACCGTATCCCTCCGAAATAAACGGAGACGTGCTGAGAACAACCCGGGCGCCTCTGCGGGAAGGGGATGGGAACGGGGACGGACAGAAATGGGGACGGGGACAGGACGCGAACCAGGAACCGGGACCGGGACCAGACCAGGACAGGGACGAGACGGAGACGGGAATGGGGATGAGGATGGGGACGGGGATGGGGACGGGACCGAGACGGGGACAAGGATGAGGACGGGGACAGGTAGAGGACGAAATAGAGACGGGGACGGAGATGGATATGGGGACGGGACCTGGACAGGGACGAAGACGGGGAGAGGATCGGGATCCGGGACGGCCATCGACCGCTCGGCGCTCGCCCCTCCGCCCTGTCTCGGCACTCGGCAGCCGCGCCTGGCCAAGATGGCGGCGCCCGTGCCGGCGTGTCAGTGAGCGCGGGCCATGTTGGCGCTGCTGGGCCGCGGCCTGGCCGGGCCGGTCCGCGCCGGGGCCGCCGTGCTGGGCAGGGCAGAGCCCGGTGAGGGGAACGGAGGGCTCGGGAGGCCGCTGGGAGGGAAGGTGGAAAGGGAAGAAGACCCCGCTGGAGGAACTGAAGAGGGGCCGGGGCCGGGGTGGGAGCTGAGGATGCGAGGAAAGCGGCGGTCTGGGGGTCAGGGGTGGCCGGGGGCCACTCAGGGGACCGCACACCGGCCTCATGGTCTGTCCCACCTCTAACGAAACAGGGGGCCGGGTGATTTTGGGGGTACCCGGGGTGTGTCTGGGGAGGGGACGCGGGCAGGATGCTGGGGGTCCCTCGGAACAGCGGGGGCGAGCGGGGGTGGCCGAGCCGGGCACAGGCGAATGCCCTGAAACAGATCCTGGTTCCAGCTGCAGGGCCCTGAAAGAGCAGCTGGAAGAGTTTGTTCTTGAAAGGTCAAAGAATGACGAAGTCCCGGCTGATGATGAATATTCGCGTCTGTACAGAGCTGTGTCTGACAAAGCTTGTCCCCAGGCTGTCCCCAGGTGTCACTGCCCCTGAGCTCTGACACTGGGGTGGTCCAGAGCAGCCTCTCCACATCGCTAATGAGATTGAGTTAATTCATCAATTAATTCGGCAGTTCAAACCCTCTAAATGAACACATTTCCTCACACTGCTCAGTGTGTGCAGCGTGTTCTGCTGCTCTGGCCTCGGCATTTGTTCTCTCTCAGGCAGCACAGCTTGGTTGGTTTTAGCACCATGTGAAAGCCACACTGAACTATCCTACATTCCTCTGGGACTAAAGATCTGCCTGGTCACCCTGGAGTCTCAGTGCTCTGACCCCATACATTTGATGTGTACAGAGCTGGAGAAGTGCACACAAGTCTGATAACTTTCTCTTTCTCCCACACAGCCTGCAGTCCTGTGCTCCAGGCAGCCAGGGGCTATGCCAAAGCTGTAACAAAGAAGAAGAAAGGTATGTCACGATCTACAGGACCAAATGTTTTGCTGTTGACATGCTCAGAGCTCTAACCTCATGGCACAGAAATCGTTCCAGAAATAGTTCCTTGCAAGCTCAGGAGTTACTCAGAAGATTCCTCTCCTCCTGAATGTGGGGAAATGAACAATTGTCAGTAGATCTGTGAGACAGGACATCTGTGAGGATGGTGACGCCCTGGCACAGGTTGCCCAGAGAAGCTGTAGCTGCCCCTGGATCCCTGGAAGTGTCCAAGGCCAGGCTGGATGGGGCTTGGAGCAGCCTGAGATAGTGGAAGGTGTCCCTGCCCATGGCAGGGAATGGAATCAGATGGGCTTTAAGGGTCCTTCCAACACAAACTATTTTGGTATTCTGTGATCTGTGAGCTCGGTGGATTGTTGTAAATACATTTACACCATATTATAAATGCAGAGTGCTGAAGGGAAGAGACTGAACCTATTTTTTTCACTCAGTTCCCACCCTCTTGGCTGGATCTGCTCATTTCTTCTTTGGAGCACACAGCCAGTTTCCTTCAGAGTGTTTCCTCTGATCTGGTTTGCGAGGTCAGAGCTCTGACTTTGTCCTGCTCTTCCTCAAATGTTTATCTCTTTGTAGACACCCCCAGCCATCTGGATGACCTTCCTCCCACCCTGCTGAAGAAGGATTATGCCAATCTCCCAATAATAAACAGGTATGAACAGGGAGAGGGAATGCCTGCTCTCTCCAGGGGTTTGTATCTTACATATAACCATGGTATGTGGAAGCTGTCACCTCCTTACTAATTAATTATTAATGCTCTGTGGGCACAAAAATTGCAGAGTCAGTTTGAAAGCAAATTTACAGCTACAGACAGTGGTCAGGCCTTGATTGTTCACTCCATGTGAGATGGAGTGCTGGTTGCCCACGTCCTCTGTGGGCTTTGAAGTCCATAAGAAGAAAACAAGGAAATAATCTTGAAATACTAGAAACAGTCATCTTGCAAATAATCTGTGCCTCTGTTCTTGAACTCGGGCAATGGAGTGTGTCCTTAAACAACTCAACATGAATTCAGCTGCTGCTGAATTTGGGCGCTGGGGCTTAGCACTGTTGGGCTCTGATGCAGAGCTTCTCGTGTGTGGTGCAGGGAGGGCCCCCAGTGGCCCGACTGTGACTTCACTGCTCTCTGAACAAACCAGTCTTAAAATGAAATATTTTTGCAGCAAAACTATTCAATACTCCTGTAATCCTAGCCATGATTTTGTTTAGGAAAGTGAGCACCAGTTTGGGAGGGGAGGAGAGTCCCTGTAAATTTGTAGAGTAAATTAAAGCTGAGAAAAGTGAGTATGTTCCAAGAACCTGAGTTCATTTTTGTTGTTAAATAGACTTGTTTCTGCTTTGTTTATAAGTTAATTCGCCATCTTCTTGCAGTGTGGATGATGTAGTGAAACGGGTGCTGTCCCTGGAAATGGCAAGTCAGGTCAGTGTCATTCTGCTTGCTTGAAAAAAAACAGATTTCATGAACACCTTCATGTGAGACTTGTCTATGTTGCTAAATATCTTTCACTTACTGTATTTCTAAGTGACTGAAAATATTGGAGTGATGAAATACAGTGATAAGTCTGGTTTGCTCTTAAAATTTATCACACTAAAGTGCTAACAATTGCACATTAAAATTAGAGAAGAAAGTATTCAGGGGTGACAGGACAAGGAGCTGTTCTGTTGCTGCTCGTGGCTGACCCCCTGTGTTCTAGTAACCATTGCACTGGACAGCAGATGTCCTTCAAGTTATTTTTACTTTCCATATGCCCAGAAAACAAACAGGTAGGAAAGTGGCACAAAGATCTCTATGCCATTCCTCTATGCTTGCCACTTCAGCTTAAAAAGATGTAAAAGCACTGACTAAAGGTCTGAATTGCAATGCCTTTATCTGGGTGTTTGGGAAGAGAGCTGTCTCTGACCTCTAGTGTTCTTAGACAGTGACAACCTCATTTTTGTGACCCACAGAAGGAGAAGATGAAGGTAAAGACACAGCAGCTGGTGGAGAAGGTCAGGAGGTCTCCCAATGACAATGGCTCCTTTGAGGTGCAAGGCAAGTTAAAAAAGGAAAGGGTATTGTTGGCAGATGAAACATCTCTGCTTGTATTCAGCTGTTCCCACCCCAGCACTTCCAGTTTGCTGTATAATTCAGGAGAATCTCCTCCAGGAGAGCTGCTGAGAGGCAGGTAGCCTGCAGGATGCCCTGCAGAACTGCTACAGGTCTGGGAGTGTTGCAGAGGCTGCTGGGGTGCTTCCAAATTCCTGCTCCACATCCACCCTCCAAAGGCAGTGTGTGCATTATTCTACTTGGAGTGCTTCTGTGACATGAAGCACTGAGCTGCAACTCTTACCAAAATGAACCAAATCAGCCACGGAACCCCAATTTTTCTCTGCATCACAGAGCTGTGGCTGAAGCACAGTGGGAACAGTGCAGGGACAACGGACTGACCAACACTGGCAACTCCTTTGTCATCAGTAAAGCCCTTCAGTTCCTCGGGATGCCACCAGCCCCTCCCTCCAGAGCCCTAAACCCCAAAGACCTGGCTTTCTGCCCTTGGAAAAAAAAAACCTTTATTGCTGTCTGCTCCCGCAGAGCTTAAATCCCATGAGGTGCAATAAATTTCAAATCACTGGGAATTGAATGCGTGCAAGAGGAATAAATTCACAGATAAATTTATATTACGTGTTGCTAAAATCTTACCCACTAATTCAACAGCCTGATAACAGTCACAGCTCTGCAGGTTGTGTGTTCTTGTGTGCAGTGCTTCCTGTGGGCAGTGTTGTGCCATGGTCAGTCCCTGCTGTGCTGCTGTGGGTACCTGCAGGGGCAGCAGAGCTCAGCTGGCAGTTTGAGACAAGATAGATGATCCTGGATCACCTGGGAAGGCTGCTGCTCTCACACAGCTGCTCTCTCTGTCCTTTACAGTTGCTATTTTGACTGCCAGGATACGCACGCTCGAGGAGCACCTCCAGAAGCATCCCAAGGTAACTGGGGGATCTGAGCCCACACACAGCAGCTGCTCAGGTGGTTTTCTCAGTTTATAACGAAAGGGTTTTAATCCTGGGGATTATTGCTTTCCTAAGGAGGTTTATAAAAGAGTTACAGCTGTTCTCTGGTGCCAGTGTGGGGAGCGGCTGGCTCAGGCACAGCTGGATTCTCGCCCACTCTGGTCTGTGTTCTGGTTTGTTACTGTAGTGGAGGAAGGCTGAGCAGATTCCTTTGGGCAGAGTTGAGCTCCGTTTCTCCTCGCTGCAGATGTGGCTTCACCACTTAAGTTTTCACTAATTAATGTATGCAGCTGCAGTAACAAACAAAGAGCAAAGTCTGTGCTTGTTCTGCTCATGGCAATGTTTGGTGGACAACACTGTGTGAATGTCCCACTCCCCTGCCTGCAGCTACCTGGGTTCAAGTCCAAATTTGAGACATCTTGACTGAATTTATGTTCATAAAACAGATATCAAAGATTTTTTATGCAGGGCAAAAGGTGGGAAATTAATTGATAGCTACATTTGAAAGAAGTGCATAATTGTTACTCATGAAAACGTGAAAGGTACAAGAGAACAGAATTGAGCTTTTTAGACAAGCCAGAAGCTATACCAGTGTTGCAGTGAAGTTGGACCTTTTGGAATTCCTTGACTGAAGCCTGTTCTTTACACAAATCACTCGTATAGGAGAGGGAGATGTCTCCTGTGAGGGATTGCCATGCTTGAGCCCTTCCAAAGAACAACCAGACAGTCAGAGCCAAGTCACAGATTATGTTCATACTTAATTTCTGGCAAAACAAAGGTTAATGCTTGTGTTATTCTGAAGCTTCAGGAGAAGCAGGTTTTAATCAGAAGACCTTCCCTGCAGCTTTGGCACAGCTTGAAACTGTACAAAGCTTAAAACAGTCTTCAGGGAAGGTGAAGGTGCAGCCATGGAAGGGAGAAAGCAATTCCAGTGCAAAGTAAATTATATCTCCTTGGACCTGTGCTGACCTGATGTACTCACAGCATCTGCCAACAGAAGTTGTTCTAAGACTCTGTCCTTAACCTGATCGTTCCCTTTCAGCCAAAATCTGGTTCATTCTCAGTAATTTATTGGAGTGGCAGGACGATCTGCCTGCAGCGGGGTGAACGTTGGGTGCTTTGCAGGACAAAAAGAACCGGCGGTTCCTGCTGATGGATCTGGACCGGCGGAGGAAGATGCTGGGGTACCTGCGCCGGGTCAACTACAGCACCTTTGAGAACACCTGCAAACAGCTGGACATCCAGTACAGCCCACCCCAGCCCTACACCCGCCGTGTCACCAAGCGCTGGCTGGTCAAGAAGGCTTTGTGCATCAAGGTAAGGAGCAGGCTGCACAGGGAAAAATCCCTCCCTGAAAGTTACAAATGACTGATAGCAGAGTCCTCTTAAGCCAGGCTTTGACTTTGATCCTGTTTGTAGAGAACTGCCTGAGCTCAGCCAAGAGCTCCGTGGGGGATATTTATGTCATGGGCACTGACACATGCTGTACTCAGGCACTTCAGGGTGGGCCACTGGTTTGCTCAAAAAATGTGTTGTTGAAAACAGTTTTTTTCTCAAATCCTGGTATGGGAACTGATATGTGAGATAATTTGATGGCAGTCTGGAACAGAAACATGGATGCACCCACTGTCTGCCCTATTTTGCTCAGAATATGAGAGTTTAACTGCATGCAGTAGATTTTGGTATTACTGAGCAGAACCAAAAGCTGAACGTGCCTTAGGTTTGTAAATGCTAAATTTCAGTCCAATTAAATTATAGCCAAAGCACTGGACCAAAGATGTGCAAGGAATGACTAGACATGGCACTCAGTGCTCTGGTCTGGTTGTCTAGGTGGGGATTGGTCACAGGTTGGACTCTATGGTCTCAGAAGTCTTTTCCAACCTGAATGATTCAGTGATTGACTGAGTGGCTGTAACAGAGCAATCTCAGATGGTTCCCTGGAGCAAGGAAGGCACAGAGGGAGGATTTGATCTGGTTCGTGCTGGAACCACTCTGCCTGCAGCAGACAGTCTGGGGAGCAGCTCTGCAGGCAGCTTTATCTCTCTCCCTTCTGCTTCCACAGGTGTTCCAGGAGAAGCAGAAGCTCAAAGCAGCTGAGAGACTGAAGCAGAGGAGAGAGTGGCAGGCGAGAGCCAGGGCTGCACGGGAACAGCAGGAGAAGCAGGTGCAGGATAAGCAGGTGCAGAAGAAGCAGGTGCAGGAGGAGCAGGTACAGGAAGGGACACCTGTGTAGTGGCATGGCCAGGCTGGCACAGACAGGCTAATAATAAATACTTGACCTCAAGCCTCTTTGCTCGTGTCCTGTGGTCTCTGCACTGTTCTGAGCACCTGGGAAGGGCAGTGGGTGGTTTAAGTGATTTAGAAGCTGTGTGCTGGGCAGGTCAGTCTGTGAGAGGACCCGAGGGCTCCAACAGGTCTGTCAGTGGGAACAGCTCAAGGGCTGTCTGTGTCCTGTCAGCACAGCCAGTCCACAGGTTTGCACTGTCACATTTTCTTAGATATTTACAGACTGAAATTTAAGACATTTAGATTGAACATTATGGATAAATTCTTCCAGAGGTCCTGGCACAGGTTGCCCAGAGAAGCTGTGGCTGCCCCTGGATCCCTGGAAGTGTCCAAAGCCAGGTTGGACGGGGCTTGGAGCAACCTGGTCCAGTGGAAGGTGTCCTTGCCCAAGGGATGAGATGGGCTCTAAGGTTCCCTTCCAACCCAAACCATTCTTCACATGTGCTGGGGCCGTGCCTGTGCACTGGGATGATCCACACAGGGACTGGGACAATGTGCACATGGATTGGGATGCTCTGCACACAGACAGGGATGATGGCACACTCAGACTGAGATGATGCACACATGGATCAGTGCTGTGGTCCAGGGGTCCCGTGGTGATCTTCCCGGGGTGCCACAACCTTCCTGGAGAGGTGTCCAGCAGGAGACGTCCCAAGGAGCAAAGGCACGTCCCTTAGTGGGGAATGATTTCAGCTCTAGTGATTTCTAGGGATAAAGGATAGGAACCTCATATAGCATTCCACAGAGAGCAAAAGCATCTATTATAGGAGGCCATTGTGAAGGGTGCCAGGAACGAGAGCTCTCCTGAACTGCGGATAAACATGGGATTATATGGGGAAAGCAGGGGGCAGGGTAGAGCAACAGGGCAAATAGTCTGAGGGCTCAAAACCAAAACAAGGGAAAGAGACCAACGGGGTACAGACTATTAACATGAAGAATCAGCACGGCGCGGGGGAGCTTTCTTCTCGCCACCAGCTGTAAGGGGACTCGTTTGGGAGGTCTGTCTCTGGGGAGTCTTACAGAACCTTTCGGCTTTCAGGCCGCGCTCCTCCACGGGAGGCGCAGGGTGTTCCTGTGCTGAGGGCTTATTGCCCTCCACAGACCGGGACGATGTGCGCGCTCAGATGATGCGCGCACACGCAGACTAAGGTGACGCGCGCACTCGGACCGGGACGATGCGCGCACACAGATCGGGATGACGCGCGCACTCGGACCGGGACGATGCCCGCACTCAGACCGGGACGATGCGCGCACACAGACCGAGATGACGCGCGCACTCGGACCAGGACGATGCGCGCACACAGACCGAGATGACGCGCGCACTCGGACCGGAACGATGCGCGCACACAGACCGAGATGACGCGCGCACACAGATCGGGATGATGCGCGCACACAGATCGGGATGATGCGCGCACTCGGACCCAGATGACGCGCACTCGAACCGGGGCCGATGCGCACGCGCGGCCCAGCTGGCCAAGACGGCGCGCTCTGATTGGCCCCGCGGCTGCCCGGCAACGGCGGCGGCGGCGGCCCGGGGAGCGGGAGCGGGGCCGTGCCGGGGAGCGGGGCCGTGCCGGGGAGCGGGGCCGTGCCGGGGCCATGTCGGCGCGGACGCTGCCGCTGCTGTTCCTGAACCTGGGCGGGGAGATGCTCTACATCCTGGACCAGCGGCTTCGCGCCCAGAGCATCCCCGGAGAGAAGGCGCGCAAAGGTGAGCGGTGGGCGGGGGCCGGGCACGGGTCCCTCCGCTCCCAGCGCTCCCGGGGAGCCGCTGGTGGCACTGCCGGTGTCCCCGGGCAGGGCTCTGGGCTGCTCCCCCCGGCCGTGCCGGTTCCCACAGAATCACAGAATGAACCAGGTTGGAAAAGACCTGTAGGATCACCTGGCCCAACCTATGACCTAACACGTCCTCATCAGCTAAACCCTGGCACCGAGTGCCACGTCCAGTCCTTTTTTAAACACATCCACGGCTGGTGACTCCACCCCCTCCCTGGGCAGACAATTCCATTGCCCAATCACTCTTTCAGTGAAGAATTTTTTTCTGACATCTAACTTAAACTTCCCTTGGCGCAGCTTAAGACTGTGTCCCCTCCTCCTGTCATTTGTTGCACCGGGACGCGCAGGGACACGCTGTGCTGTCACCAGAGGATGCTGCGAACTGACGGCATCAGTGCTGGTCCAGGGCAGGAATTTAGGAGTTTCCTTGGCCCGATTTCAGGGCTCTCTCGCAGCAATTACCACAGTAATTATCACAGAAATCAACCCTCAGTGTTGTGTAGGTCCCCACTGGGAAGCACAGCCCGTTGGGTTGATCAGCTCGCTGGAGTTCCTGTGGTAAGAACAGCCCAAAGGTGTTGCTGAGATTGGTTTGGGAGGGTCTCACACAGAAGGAGAAAGTGGAGTCGGTGTCAGTGTTTCTGTGCTCAGTTCGGGGGCTAAGCTTCAGAAATGCAGTTTTGGAATCAAAATAACTCAGGATTTGGTTATGTCAGCCCAGTCCTGGACTGTTTGGGGCAGACCAGGTTGCTTTGGAATGGGAAGGAGTTTCCAGGAATAAATTTGTAAATCTTGTGCAGACCCAGCATGTGCAATTGTGTGAAATTCAAATACCAGTACGGCTCCCAAAATCCCTGTGAAAACTGAGTGCCTTCACATGGGGCATGAAACTCCAGCTCACAGCCAAGCACCTCTGTATTTACCACTTCAAATTAAAGCTTTGCTTTACAAGTCCTTGCACCTCTCTGTCAGGGGATGGGGAATGTGCCTCGGGAAGCTCTGTGATGTTTTAATAAAAAATCAGCTTGATATGAGCTTGGTATTATCCCTTCTGCCTGTCCTTTATGAAGTACTAAACAACAAAGGCTTCACTGTGTAATTATTGTATTGTTTGTGAGGGGGCAATCTGTAATTATTCATGTGTGTCCTGAAGAGGAAATGATCTGACAGAAGTTTACTGCTGTACATACAGGGACACGTTTAGGATTTTAGCTAAATTAAATCTTGGTGGAGTATCTCAGCAGGAGAATTGGACTGTTTCAGTTTGTCCACATAGGGATTTTTTTTTTTCTTCCAAAAAATTGTGTTAATGCTGATGTGTTTGTTGATGCTTAAAGCTGTTCACTCAAATGCTGGTTACTTGTAAGTGCAAAATACAGCTGAAAACTACCCAAGCTCATGCAAAGGGTAAAATTTGTTGTGCACTGAAGCAGCAGGATTTAATCCAAGGGGAGGGTGAGGTTCTCATTCAGTGCTGAATGCTGATGAGAAGACACAAAATCCATTAGTTAGCTTTTTTTTTTTTCTTTTTAAGCTTATTTCTTTTTATTTCTTTTCTTCTCCTTGCAACTCTCGTTCTTACATCTTGAACTGCTGTTTTGTTTTATATGCTTCGTGTAGATGAATGGACAGATGTGGACAGGAAACGAGGTACAGTAACTGCTGGCTGCATGCACCAGTCCAACCCCACGTGCACACCTGGGGCTCATCGTGCCTGAACACCTGAGGCTGTTCCTGCAGCCTTCAGTCAGTGTCACAAATGAACAGTAATTCTCACCCGGTCCTTAAATACCCTTTTGACTGTAAATCAGTGAAAAAACAGACCATATCTTAAAATCATATGGCCTCAAAAATCAGCTGTTCATTGAACCAAGACTATAAATGGATCAAGATCTTTTTATCCTGGTGGTCTTGCCTGCAAAAATGGTATTTGTGTTTCTTTACCACTGTTTTCATGCAAGCATGTAATTGCGTGGGCATTGTGCAGGTTGTTTTTCTGCTTAAATGCAGGAATATTTGGTATATTCCCTTTTTCTAAGGTTTTATCTAATTCATTGCTCAGGGTTTGGACAGGTGAACTCCAGGGATGATCGAAGGCATTCCCATCCCAGCTGCTTTACCCACCTGTGCTGGTGGTCACACCTGGCAGAGGGATCCCAAAGGAGCAGGTGCCCACACCTCAGCCAAGCTCATCCTGACTGCAGTGATCCTGAGGGTGGGATTGAGTCCTTGGATGCTGCAGGGGAGTAGCCAAGGTGTGAACACCTTTCCCTCTGGAATCTGTCCTGGAACAGGAGTCTCCAGCAAAGGCTGTGCTAAAGAATGAGGAAATAAATCTCTTGAATCTCAGGTTTTTGCTCGGTGAGCAGAACTTACAGGGTCCTTCTGAGCAGCCCTATTTAAAGAGGAATCAAGGTTATGATTCATGTTTTGCAAAATAAGCATCATTTTAGTAGGTTTTCATATTTACTGAAGGTAAATGTTGATGTCCTGGAGGTTGCCCCAGCTTTTTTCTTACCATTATATCCTGTTTCCAAGCACACCCTTTTCCCAGCCTTTAACTCAGAAGTGCAGGAACAAATTCCATCCCATCCAAAACAACGAGGAGCTGCCCCGAGCTGTGACACAGCGAGGCAGGGGTGGCTCAGGGGCAGGTCCCACGCTGACCCATCACTTCTCCTGTGACAGAGGACACTTTGCCTGTGCTCAGTGCTCCTGGGGATCTCGGGAGGGTCCTGGAGTCACCACCTGGGGCTGTCACTGATGGAGCCCTGATGAGGGTCCCCGAGGAGCCACGAGCCTGTGGCATGCAGGGTAACTGTCCAGAACTCAGAATGTTCCTTCTGCTGCCCCAAACATCCTCCAGGAAGCACCAGCATCACCCAGGCATAGCTCCAGTCTCATTCATGCATCCCAGCCATGCCAGTGGCACGTGCTGTTTGTCACCACAGCCTTGGCATGGGGAGGTGACAGCTGCCATCACCCCCAGCTTCAGTCCTGTCCATTGCACTGGCTGCACTGGTTTCCCCCCTCTCATCCCAGTTGATGACCTCCCCTCTCTGCTCAGTTGCTTTTTCTGTGTTGCTTGTGCCATGTCCCTGGGCCAATGCTCCTGTGTCACCTGCCATGGCCACTCCAGGGCCCCCCTGAGACCTTTGCTGTGTCATTATCAAACATTGAGAGATTTATTATCAATTTGCCCTTTACCGTGATTTTTTTTTTTATGTCTTTCTCAGTTCTTTTTATAGCCCACACAAGAGGTTTTAATTTCAGAAGATAATTTATGTCTGTGGTTCACACAGACTTTGATTCTGTTGAAAAATCAGTGTACTGGGAGCTGTCTCCTGGTGGTTTGGGTTGTTTGTGACAGGAGAAGTCTTTCTCAGGGTGGCACACACAAGCAGCTTAAAAATATTTTCCTTAATACCAGTATAAAGCAGAATTTTTTATTTTTGTCATAATTGATTCCCTGCAAAATTAACTAGATACTAATATCTACTAGTACTAATACATTTTATTTTCTCCACAAAAAATAGGGAATTTCTGCCTGAGATTCCAAGTAGGGATTGTTTTATGGCCAGTTTATTTGAAAGGAAGGGAGGAAGGAGGGACATTTTTCCCATTTTTAATTAGGTGTATTCATAGTCCAGAGTGCTCAGGAGCTGAGATCTGTCTGTGGCTTTGGGGTGTTTAAACCAGGATTAGGGAGCCCTGTCAGGTTCAGCCCAGGGGCTGCTGAGCTGTGTGTGACCAATGCATGAGGAACCTGCAGCCAGCAGGTTTTGAGAGGAGAGAGAATCACTTCTCTCTGATCTGCCCTTGGGAACACAGCAGTCCCCAGGGAGTTTATCCTCTAGGAAGAGATGAAGTGACAGGGAAATTACCTTTGGTTTGTCTCTTGGTGTAGGACAGGTGTGAAAAGCCAGGTGTCTGACCCCCCCAGGGAATCATTAGGGCAATAATTCAAACCACTGGTCACTACCACTCTCTGTATGTTTACTTTTTTTCCTTTTCCTTTTTTTTTTTTCTTATTATTTATTCTGAGATTTTTCTAATCCACAAGAATTGTCTGGCATTATGAGCTTTGTAACAGTCATCTGCTTAGGAAAATCCATGCTTGTACAGTAATCTGTGACCTGATGTATTCATTTACCTTTTTTTGATAGAAAAATAAATGTTTATTGATGATAACTCTTTAGAGGGTATCAGGGAGATAATAAAAGTGGCAGATCCAGCACAAAAGCTCAGATGCTGCATCTGCTGGAACCACTGCTCAATGTTTTCCATCTTGTTTGCATTAAAAGCTCAATAACCAGAGCACAGCCCTCACACTCAGCACTCCTGAGCTCTAAGAACTCCTCAGTAATAAAACAGTTCCATAGCTAAATTTACACATTAAAAAATGAACCACAAGTAAGGAAGTCTGGGGCTCTGCATTTGAAACTCTAGGGCCTGCAGATGTTTTAGCTGTGAGAGCCCTGAATGAGTTGATATAGATATCTCAGGGATAGAAATGCTTTATTAAATACCTGTTAATCAATTTGGAATAAAGATTACAGAGAGCCTTGCAGGAGTTTCTGTTGAGAAGTTAAAAAATAGACTGATGGTGTCAGAGGGTGTCAAGGAACAGGCACAGCCAGGCAGCTGCAATCTGCAAAGATCTACCACAGTGCAAACCACTCTCCTTAGGAAGCAGAACTGCAGCTTTTTTAGATCATAACATATCAGAGCAGCCTACAAGCAATATTATTTAAAAGTGAAAAGTGCCAACTAGAGCTGTAAAACCAGGTTAACAAAGCCAGCCTTACTCCCACTGGGAAACAGGGACTGCTGCCTTCAGCTCAGGTGGCATTTGTGTCCTGGGGGACATCAGCTGGCTCAGCCCAGGTGGGACTGAGGCAGTGCTGGATCCAGAGGTGCTGTTCCCCCTCTCCTGTTGTGCTCTGTCCCTGCTCTGCACAGGTAACCCCAGTGTGACCTTTGCAGCTGGCATGGACCAGGAGCACGCTGTTCTGGAGCAAACCACACAGCCTCTTTGTCTTTGCAGTTATGAACGACATCATCACCACCATGTTCAACAAAAAATTCATGGAGGAGCTGTTCAAACCCCAGGATCTGTATTCCAAGAAAGCCCTGCGCACCGTGTACGACCGGCTGGCTCACGCCTCCATCATGAGACTGAACCAGGCCAGCATGGACAAGGTAACACAGCCCTGCTGCCCAGCCTGCCTCTGCTGCACTCCCCAGCTGCCCTTCACCAGTTTCTGTTGCAATAATTAACCTGTGGCTTTACCATTTTGAAGCATTTTGGAACAGCTTTCCTTGTGAAAATGGTTCTCGGCCAAGGAAATCCGTGGTGGTATCGGCTGCTTCAGAACTGAGTATTTCTGCTTGAACAGCTAAATGTTTGATTTGAACAAGCTCACTAAGCATTCCTTAAGTTTATCAGATGTTTTCATAGATATTAAAAATATACACATATATGGTATATGTGAGTGGATAAACGTCTGTATTTCTGTACTGATACCCACTGTCTTGCAGCTGCAGGTGTTAGAGTTATTGCCTGCAAACAGTGTATCCACAGCCAATTTAGGAAAAATTGGTAAGGATGGGTAGGGATGGTAGGATTAGCAGAGAGCCCTCCATCCAGGTGTCAGGGCTTCTGAAATTTATAGGATCAGTGAGATTGGAAAAGCTCTCCTAGAGCCTCGAGTCCAACATGTGCCAAATTCCCACCTTGTCACCCAGTCCAGAACACTGAGGGCCATAACCAGTCATTCCTTGGACATCTCCAGGGATGGGGGCTTCACCACCTGCCTGGGCAGCCCCTTCCAATGTTTAATCAACATTTCCATGCAGAAATTCCTCCTGATGTCCAGCCTGAGCCTCCCCTGGCACAGCCTGAGGCCATTCCTTCTCCTCCTGTCCCAGTTCCATGGGAGCAGAGCCTGACCCACCCTGGTTGTCCCCTCCTGTCCGGGAGTTGTGCAGAGCCAGAAGGTCCCACCTGAGCCTCTTCTTCTCCAGTCTGAGCCCTCTCCTTTGCTTCAGGTGCTCCAGCCCCTTCCCCAGCTCCACCCCCATCTCTGGACACGCTCCAGAACCTCAAAGTCTCTCTTGCACTGAGGGGCCAAGAACTGGACCCAGTACTCAAGATGTGACCTCACTGAGCACTGGTGACATTGGAGAGCCAGCAGTAAGGCTGAGGATGTGGCTGCAGAGGTCTTGTTTTTTTAGGAAATTAAGCTTGGTTCCTTGTGCCATAGGCAGGCACTGGCCTGATTGAATCCCTCTGTCCTTGCCTGGGAGGTTTCCTCTGTGGCAGGACCAATGTTCCTGTGTTCCTTTGCAGCTCTACGACCTCATGACCATGGCCTTCAAGTACCAAGTGCTGCTGTGCCCTCGGCCCAGGGACATTCTGCTGGTCACATTCAACCACCTGGATGCCATCAAGGATTTCATCTCCGACTCCCCTGGCATTCTGAACCAGGTGGATGAGACCTTCCGGCGGCTGATTGAAGTAAGAGTCCTCAGAAAAAGGGTGGGACACACTGGGGTTTGATTTTATGGGGTTTTTTCCTCTTAGGGATGAATTACTACTTTGGAGAGGGCTGTGAGTCAAGTAGTATTTTTCTGCTGGCTCAGTTTAAATCAATATATTGTTTATTCAGCCTGATTTAAGTCTCAACTGATTTCAGCAGAAATTAAATCAGAGTTTCAGTCGCAGACAATAATTACTGATAACGAGCAGCAGCCCCCTTAGAGCATTTCTGCTCCCCCTGCAAGTGGATCAGAATATTCAGCTGTATTTGTTCCCTCTTTCCCTGGGTGGGACATGGCACACCTGTAAACCCTTGCATGATGATTTTCCTTTTCCAGACCTACAACTGTCTCTCTGATGGTGAATTCCAGCTCATCAGGCAAACACTTCTCATTTTCTTCCAGGACATGCACATCAGGGTAAGAGCCCAATCCATTTAGGCAAGGAGAATGACAGGGAGTTTGGGGCTGGAATACCAAGGGGTCTGCTTATAAACACTGCAGGTTTGGGATTGTTGCTTGTGCTTTTCAGTCATCTTGATGTGCTTATAATTGCACTCAAATTTCACAGATTGAGTACATATACTGCAATAATGCTGAATAATTCTACAATATTATGAAAAAAGGAATCTCTACTAGTGTGATTTGTTGATTGATAAATCCATGTTTCCTTTTAGAAGAAACTTGATAGGAAACCTGAGCGTGAAGTCTTGATGTTCTCTAAACAAATTGGTCACACTTGGGTGCATAAACAGGACGTAATTTTTAATGTAATTTTTTTCATGTTACATCAGTGTGCCCATCCTCTGGACCACAATTCCACATCACTGGCTTTGTAAATACATCCCTACACACACACTCAGGAGCTCTGGGAAACCTTCCCCAGTGTAGGCAGAGAGGCTCAAGCTCAGATTTCAGGGAATTTGGATGGGAAGGTCCGTGGAGGATTTCTCCAGTGATGTTTGTGATGTCCTTTTGCAGGTCTCCCTCTTCCTGAAGGATAAAGTGCAGAACTCGAATGGTCATTTCGTGCTGCCAATCTCAGGGCCTGTCCCATGGGGCACAGAGGTGCCAGGGCTCATCAGGTGAGCTGGTGCCATGTGTGAGGCTGCTCAGGGAGGAGCATTTCATGCCAGAGGGCTCAGGAATCCAGCTCAAACTGCCATTCCTATTGCATGGATAGCTGAACCTCCAGAAAATATTATTTAAAGGGCAGGATTTGGAACTAAGTCACCCAGCAATGAAATGTTGAGCTGCTTTGGGAGTTTTTTATCCCAGTAAATTAGCTATTAGCAATTTATCCCATAACAGAGACATTTAACAATGTATGGAATAGAGTTTTATTCCCCTCGTGCAAAATGCAGAGGAACTAGGTAGTAAAATCAGGACTGAAACTACCAAATGTTTTAATAATGCCTTGTTTTTAAGGATATTCAATCATAAAGGAGTGGAAGTTAAAAGGACTGAGTTCACCACTGCTGGAAATTATGTTACTCCACAAAGGGAAGGATCTTTTGAGCTTTATGGAGACAGAGTCCTCAAACTTGGAACAAATATGTAAGTAATTTTTGTTCTATGTAGAAACCTGAACCAAATACTGATGGATTGTTCAGAAGCACATCTTCAGCCTGGTGTGGTTTTGGCCTCCTTTGCTAAGGTTAACTTTGTTACAAGGTGCTGTCCTGCACCAGGACACGTGTGGACAGTGTATAAAAGAGCTGCAGAAAACAACAAAACTTTGATTTATGTCCACGGTGGAGCTGAGGAAAGAGTGTTCTCACGTGGTGCTGCATCTTATGTGCAGTGTGGTTTAATGTAACCATAGTTAAGAAATCCTCTCTGTTCTCCACTGCTTTAATGCACATTTTCCATCCAGAGACATCTGTATTCCTTCTCACAGCTTTGTCCCTCACACACCTTATTGCCTCAGTATTGCACCACACTGAGCTGTAACTTCTCATTGCAATTGTTCAGTCTTCAGAAAAATATCCTAAAATTGCTGTACTTCATTCCAGAGCAAACTGTTCTTCCCTGTGTGTTTTTCCTCTAGGTACAGTGTGACCCGGCCAGTGGAGACACACATGTCGGGGTCATCCAAAACTCTGGCATCCCAGGCAAAGGTCAGTGTTGTCCTGTTCCTATCACTGCTTAAACTGGCCAAATTCTTTGTCTCTAGATAAGGGATAAGTTCGGGGAAGCTTTTCAGTTGTTCTCAGAGCCTCATCCAATCCTCCCCAGTCCTTTGAAGCCAGGGGAAGTGCACATTTTCCAAAAGAATCCACACACTCATGAAAGGATGTGCTTGCTTCCATTTTAATCTCCTCAGAAAACAGAAAGTTGGCTTTACAGATTTCTCATCTGTTCAATTTAGCTGGAAAAGTAGCTTGTGCTGAGTCTATAAATTCAAGCAACCATTTCCAGTATCAAGCTGGTGAATACTGGTTATCTGCACAATCTGTCCCAGGAATAACAGGGAAGTTTGTTTATATCCCTCTGAAGGACATGGATGGAATATCAGAAATATATGAAGGACATACATGGAATATCAAAGCTCCTTGCAGCCCAAATCTCCCAGGTAATGGCCCAATTTTTTTTTCCTGCAGGAGAACATAGCCCCCAACCCTCTTGCTAAAGAAGAGCTGAACTTTCTGGCCCGGCTGCTGGGAGGTTTGGACATCCAAAAACCTGCTGGTGGCGACACAGGATTTCGGCTGAATTTGTTCACAACCGATGAGGAGGAAGAGTATGCTGGAGTCCTTTCTGCTTTGGGTTTGGGGTGCCCTATGGGGAGCCCTGGAGAGCAAGGCTCGCCCTCAACAGCTTTAGGGACACACCAGCACATTGTTATCCTGCTCCAGGATGTTTCCTGTGATGCAGCCTTGCTCCCAAAGCCTCTAGACAGAAACATCCTTCAGCTATTTCAGCAGGATGATTCTATCTGCTTCTTATCTCAGCTACAGAAATATTCCTGCTCTTCTACACCTAACAAAAATATCTAGGACAGGGAGAAGCCTCCAAACTGGGGTGAATACATTAATTTGCCAAGCAGGAACAGAGGCATTGTCCAAACTTCATAGAATTCCAGAATGGTTTTGGTTGGAAGGGACCTTAAGGGTCCTCTAATTCTACTCTGCTATGGGAAGAGACACCTTCCAGTAGACCAGGTTGCTTCAAGCCCCATCTAATCTGGCCCTGTGAGCATCCTCTGAGCATCATTTGTGCCTACAGGAGCCTCATGAAGTCAGTTTTTTATAATTTCCTTATGCATGTTCATGGGATTAACCACTCTTTTCATGTTTTTAATTGAGACATGCTGCACAGACCAGACCAGAGGAGTTGTCCTACAAGGTTATCAACATTGAAGCCACACAGGTATGTAACATGTTTCCTATCACTTGTTCTCACCATCCCTGCCTTGCTAAGGACTATGTTTCACCTAGAGTAGGGATTTAAAAATACATTTTTTCCCATTTCGCTTAAGCTCATAACTAAGTAATAGCCAATTCTCTGCCAAGACAGTGGAATTGGTGAATATTTACTAAGAAAACTTGAGTCCTGACAAATACCAGAGCAAGTTTTTAGCCGACTTGGATGTAGAAGGGGCACGTCCCAGCCCAGCCCAGCCCAGTCCCGGCCGCGGTACCGGCGTGGCGGCACCGGCGGGGTCTGAGCGCGGTGTTTGTCCCGCAGGAGCCGGGGCGGCGAGCGGAGCTGTCCCGTATCCTGGGCGAGCTGGAGGTGGCGGAGCCGCGCCCGGGCAGCGCCGAGAAGGGCGAGGACCTGCTGGCACTGATGGACGGGCTCTGAGCGGAGACCGGGGCATGGGGACAGCGGGACACGCAGACGCCGGACATGGGGATACGGGGACCTGGGGACAGTGGGACACGCGGACACCGCCCGGGATCGCCCCGCCCCTTCCAGCCGTGGGCGGGGCGGAGGGCGGGGCCGCGCGTGCGCGAGGGGCGGGGCGGCGCGGGCGAGCGCGCGGGAAGCGGCGGCGAGTGAGTGCGTGGGGGGGGGCCTG